TATATCGATGCTGATTAATTAGATCGCCTGATCATCCGGCTGGGTCGAGGCGAGTTTTTTGTATTAAGACTCGTGTCATAAAAATGAAAGTCCTGACTCGAGAAAAAATTCGAGTCGGGTCAAACAACCCGAACACTATCTGTGATATCAAGTATTATAGTCTTGTGAAATACCTTCTATGCCATAGGTCATTGGTTTTTAAATTCATCTATAAAATATCTTTATAAAATAATATATACACCATCTTTTATTTATTTAATGTAATAATAAACCAAAGAAAATATAAATAAAAATACATTTTGCATAATGATTTGCTATCAATAAACCTAAGCTTAACTAATTTTAATTAAATTTCGATCTTTAATTATCGATAATGATCTTGCAACTTAATTTACTATTGACGGACGATTATATGTTATCGTTCCTATCATTTTGATCCATTTTCTCTGATATTTCCAAAAACTTTATATCAACAACATATTCCTTTAAGAATATTTCAAGAGAAATTAAACGATCACGTAATTCTTTAAAATCTGAGGCATAAGAATCTAACTCCGTCATTGAGGAAGAAGTATTGATTAATGGTAGTACTGGAATTGTTTTTTTAAATTTATTATGAGTTCTATGTCTTAATCCACAATAATACTGCAAACAACCCCAAGGACGAATCGTATCTACGCCTATTGCATAGTAAAAGAAATAGTAAGTAACGATTAATACGAGCTAACATTATTTCTAAAAATATATATACAATTACCAAATGAAGTCGCATATAATGCCGAAGCCAAACCCCAAGCACCGCCCACTAGACCAAATACACCGAGTAACTTTTTTTAAAGTGGAATATGTCGAAATTAATATTAATGTTGGCTCATTTATAATAAGTAATCAATAAAACTTACAGTTCGTGTTCTAAAATGTTGGTGCATAAATATTATCTTAATATTTGTTTATATTATGTGAACATCAATTTTCTAACATACCTTTGTTCAGTCTCCACTTGCATACGGAAACTTTTTACGGTTAATTCAATTCTACTGAAATAATTAGTACTTGGTTCAACAGGAATGGAGATGCTCTCTGTTATTTATGATAAAAATACGAACCCGTTCAACGTCCTATATTATAAATAATAAGCAGAATGATTAATATTACTTACGAATTGTGGATATAATACGAGGTTGGGTTTTATAAGATGGTCTGACTCCAAGAATACCACTGAATTTTGGATGAATTATTTTCCTTTTATTTCTAGTCAATCCTACAAGTGAAACCTAAGTACAACAATAAGGTAACCATTTTTTTTTTTTTTAAAAAAAAAAAAAAGAGTCTAAGACAGTTAATTACCTGGTTTTTGACAATCTCATATTCATTATTTGCGATTAGTTCTCTAATTTGAATAAAGTTTTTAATTGGTTCTAAGTCAACGTTACCATCTTTAAATTTTAAGGGATTATTTTCTATGTATACAATACATAATATATCTTAATAATTTTGCAGTCAAAAGTTTAAATAAAAACCATATTTGATTAATTTACCAGAATCAACAAGGGAAAAGCTTATCGACTCATTATCAGATGTGTTGGCTAATAAATGTATTTCAATCATTTGATTGTTGATCCTTGTAAAATTTAAATTATTATTATTTAAAAAATATCCAAAATATCCATCGTCTATCATTTGTGGTTGTACTAAAAAATTGTTACAACTCTCATCTATTTCTATTTTATCGATTTCTATATTATAAAATTTTAATTTAATGTAGTTAATGTTCAAAATTTATTTTAAAAAATTATATTAAAATTTAATACCATTATCATAATTATCAAATTTATCAAATTGACATTCTATATTGAATGGAAACATAGCGTAAAATCCCATATCTAATATAATCATTATTTACTAAAGATAAAAGATATACGATATAAACCTTTTTCACACATGCTATACTGTACTGTACATACCAGGAAATGGAATTTCATTAGTTTCTTCATCTGAAATCTGTAAAGCTGGGACACTATTAATCACTTCTATTATCAAAAAAGTAATGTATGCTACAAGAAAAGTTAAGAATAATATCATTACACATGCTCTTAAAAAAATTATGAATTTAGGTTCTGTCTTTCGACGTTTATTGAACAAATCGACATAATACATTTTTATAAAAATAAAAAATAAAAAAAAAAAAGAATATTTCTAAGAGATGTAGATTCTTTCACTGTGTCACTATTAAAAGATTAATTCTAAACTAAAAATAGTAAGATAAAGAAATGGTGATGATCAACCAATTATAGTTTGATGACTGTCATAATAAATATGTTGTGATTAGCTATTAAGGGTCACAAAAATATTTACAAAACTCGAATTTTAATAAATAATTTTTATTTTACAATTTTAATAAATACAATTTTTATTTTACAGAATTTATTGTGTCAAAGTTTTATTGTATTTAAATCATTAAACTTGCTTTACATCCCTTTTTATAAAAATACTAATTAACAACATAAAAATCGATAGAAGGTTTACTCTTCAAAAAGTTCACATTTACAAACAAGTTTAGATAGTCTTGACTTAAAAAGGAAAGTCGTTGTTTATTTACTTTATAAATCAAATCACCCGATTATCTGGGCTGTGCTAACTCTGCCAAATTTATAATACTTGCATAAGTTAATTTTAACCGGACTTCTCCCAGAAATTATCGATAAACTCCAAATGCTTATACTTAATTAATGACACAGTATTGATCATAACCCTTCAATTCGTCCAACTGCTTCTAAATTAAACGATTTATTAGGAAGTTGAATAAATGTTATATGTGACGATCCGAATTATTTGATCAATTTGAATCAAAATTTCAGATTTTAAGAATAATAATAATAATAATTTTCATCAG